TGGATTCCGTTGGTATGTCTATAATGACCGTATATAAAGTTACTTGGTGATTTCACAGGTAGATACCTAGGGGCGCGTGACAACTATGTCTATTGCCTACTGAAAACTAACTTGACTGTATACTATACCTTTTCTGAATTTTTGCTTGGTATGGCTTTCTTCTTCAAACCATTAAAATCTGTTGTTAGCTTTAATTGTTCATATTTATTTGTCCTGTCTTGCTGTATTGTGAAGTCTATTTCCCAAACTGAAAGTTGGCGTATAGAAGAAAGTGCGGAATTGCACAGTTTCGAGCTGCTATAATTTGCCTGCAAGAAACATAGTAAATCTAATGCAAAAAATTACACTGTTTGAGGTGTTAAAAAAATGGCGATTCTCTGCTAACAGAGGAGTACTAATTTTCCCATTATAGCTGATGCTGTTTGGATGGACAAACTCTGGCATTCCGCTCCTGATATTGAAAAGGAATCATGTTCTGTTTCACATCCTGTTCAATCAGCTCATGTTGATTTGGACATGGGTTAAACGAGCTAAGGATGATCTTTAACTTGATAGCTTGTGAAGTATATGTACGGCTGCAACTGTTTAGCTTTATGTTCTTGAAGCGTATCATGATTTGGTGTAAGCTAGAACTTCACAAAGAACCAGTGCCTGATTGTGCATTACATGACCAACATGAGATTGCTTCTTTAGAAGTCTTCGCACTGCTTGCTTTGCCACTATTATTTTTTTTTCTGGTAATAAGCACTGATGTCAATTTCTAATGTAATATCGCAGCAATTGCTACAGTTGTTTCGGTTGCAGAAATTCTGAAGAACAATGGCCTGGCTGTTGAAAAGAGTGAGTTATTTCCTCCCAGTTATATCTTTCAAAACTTAAATTTATGTAGTGGATATGGATGTTATGATCCAGGTAGGATGAAGTTTATTTCTTTCTGAATTAAAACTATTGCAGGAATAGTGACATCAACTGTGGAGATAAAGGATGATTCCAGGGGGCGACCTGTTCAAAAGGCTAAGGTAATGATAGTAAATGTGTGGGTTTTGGGAAGTTTTCTTCTGCATTCCTGATGACAAACTACAATATCTTGGCCCCATTTTGTCTTCCCTCGTATTGAATTACAAACTTGGCAGAAGTAAATAGTTATAATGGGAAAATTAGTACTCCTCTGTTAGCTCTCTAACCTTTATTGGTTTAGTGAATGGGCCGTAGTACTCAAGTTTTAATTCTAAGTGATAAAGACTGAATTGCCGGTTTTCTGAGATAGCTTTTCATTTGGCATTGTTCTCTTTTGATCTTCAGACACCCATTGCGTTGTACCAGTAGAAATCTCATTTAATTCAAAACAGACCTGACATGCATATTCAGTTTCTTGTCATATTTCTTTTATTTTGTTGAACATTAGCTGAAATTTCTGTTGCAGATTGAGATAGTGCTGGGGAAGTCGGCAAAATTTGATGAGTTGATGGCTGCTTCGCAAGAGGAGAGGGAGAACGAAGGGAAAGTGGGGCAGTCTGGAAATGTAGAGGAACAGAGCTGATAAGATAATGGCTGTGTCTCTTTTTTTTTTGGGTTCATTAAAGCTGCAGGAATCAATCAATTTTTGGTAGAACTGTAAGACATTTTTCAATAGCTAACAAGGCTGTCTTCTTTTGTTTTTTCGTTACATTTTCAAGCTTTTATTTCCATTGAGATGTCAATTAGTTGAACGCATCTTTTTCTTAAGTTTCTGGTGCTCAATGTTTCATTTCAATTTTGGGATGTACCTTTCCAGAATTGATGAGACGTTAACCACTTTGTTTGACATAGAGAGTTTGTTCATTCTCGATTATCAACTCGGAAAAGTTTTGACAAGGAAAAACTGAATTTCAGCCTCTTTTAAATTTGCTGCCTTGCAGCCTGTTACGTATATTTTCATGCCACCATGCATCCCTAGAAATCGAATATGTCGCTTTCCACCCCCCTCTGCTCATCTGGCGACTTAACCAGAAGCACTGCTGCTTTTGGGGAGTTTAAGATATTGTTAGCAATAAAATTAAAAAAAAAAAAAAAAGAAAACTTCGCGGTTGTCCTTGTTTTGGGCACACCCCGAATCGTTTAAATAGAGCAATTTTTTAGGAAACAATTTTTAAAACTTCTCTAAACTTGTTTGCTATCATTTTTTAACACATGAATAAAAGCTTTCGATTATCATTTGGAAAGCTTAAAGAAAAATCAAATATTTTTACCATGGTATTTTGAATTATTTCCTCAGCAGTTCTTTTTGTTGTCCTAATATTGCAAATGCAACATTATGATTTCGCTAATAAAACGCCTTCTTTCTACTAAGCCGAAGGATAGTTGCACATTTCCGTTGAAAATTTTGGTAAGGGTTATGATTCCACCGACAAAACGCCTTCTTTCTACTTAACCAAAGGATTTTTACACATTTCTGTCGAAAATTTTGCTGAGGGTCATGGCCTTTAATGCTGGTAGATGCTGGACAAAGTGATAGCTAAAAAAGTATGGAGAAGGATGGCAAAAGATGTCTAATTTTAGTTTTTTTTTTTTTAAAAAAATTACCTTCAAGTTTGATCTGATCTTTGGTAAGCTTGAGGTTATCCTTTGGAGTAGATTCTAAAGGATATTATATCAAGTTGAGCTCTAAAATGGACAAATTTGATTTATCTACACAAAAAATATTATAAACTCAAATTAGGCTAGTTTAGGGATGGCAATGGGGGCGCCCGCCCCGCGGGGGGCTCTCGGGGCGGGGGGCGGGGGGGGATACCCCCCCGCCCGCGTCACCCGCAAAACAAAAAAAAAAATATATATATATATATATATTATATATAATATGTAAGTTAATTAGTTATAAACTTATGATAATGATATTATTAGTTAGATGTATTATATAATGTATATTAGTTTATGTAATATAATTGATACATGTCTACTAATATTATGAATAATTATACATGTCTACTAATAGAATTTATTAATTAGTTATACTAAATTTACTAATACATTTATACTAAATTTCTAATTACACTTAATAGAATAACACTTTTTTCTCAAAAAAAAGCACAAACACAATAATGAATTAGTGATTGCATTTGTACTAAAAGTGAAAACTTGACTATTTTAGTTATATTTATTTTATCATATTGGATTGTATTCAAATAACTTCTGTTTGATTGTTTTTATGAGTTTCAATTGTAAAATTACAATGAATAATAATTTGGTGATGTGTTGATATTTTAGTACTTGATTATTTATTAAAATTTAATTATAATAAAATTATATTAACCCCGCGGGTGCCCCCGCGGGGGAAGCAGGGCAAGGCGGGGCGGGGACGGGGCGGGGCGGGGGGAGCGGGGGACGGGGGACGGGGGAGCTAATAGGCAACGGGGCGGGGGACGGGGGAGGGGTCCCCCGCCCCAACCCCGCCCCGTTGCCATCCCTAGGCTAGTTTATTTATCAACTTCAAAAACAACTTCGAGAAGTGAACTCTTAGTATTCTATATGGCTCAATTATAAATTGGGCCCATGTAATCACGGCTTGACAGCAAACTATTTCTTGTAATTTTGAAACCTATAAATTGCCCTCGATAACTCAAGCCAAATGTATGTCCATACTAAAAAGACGGTAATGTCCTCATTATAAGGATATTGTCTGATGACTTTCTTTTTTTTAAAAAAAAAAAAAAATTTCCTCTCTCTTCTTCTTTGCGTGTTTAGGTCTTTTTCTTTATCTTTCATTCCTAATTCTGTATACAAACTTCAACAATAATATATTAGAGAATTTCTTTTCATGGTTAAATATATAATGTAACTTTCATGCTAGAAACATTTGGTCATCACCAATTTTCATAAGAAAGTAAATATCATATATTAATAAATTTAAGTATTTTCTATTGATATAATTAATGGGCTTGTCTATCAAGCGCCTACTAAGTATTAGTTAAGATGTAATTTAGGTTTTAATATTTAGAAAATGTAAAGTTCAAATAAGGAATGCTTTTAAATGCAAAATAGGCTAATAATTGTTAGTGTTGGCATATAGGTTAGGGGTAATTTAGATGTCCTTTTTTGGATTGCTATTTTTAGAATTTTTTTTATAGAAAAATATATTATAACTATTCGATATATGTGAGGTAAAAAGATAATTGAAAAATGTATTCATGGAAAATGTAAAAAATTTTCTGTGAAAATTCACAATACAAACAACAAGTGTCTATTAAGCACCTATTAAAAAAACTTATAAATATTATGCATCAATTGTTATGATGCATCAACTCCTAATAAAAATAGAAATTATGTAAAATATTTTTACTAGATCTAGACTAGAGTTATTAATTTCATAATATTTGATGATAATTAAGTATGTTATATAACTAAATAATAGTATTTTTTAAACATCGGCAGAAAATATTAATAAGAAATAAAAAGTAAAAATAAAATAAAAGTGAAATATTTATACTTAATGTGCAATATCTATTTCTTATGTTTAATGACAAATCCTTAACAAAATTAAAAAGCATTTAAATTATTTTTAATAATTTTACACCACTTTTTTTATGATGATTTAGGGTAACTATTTTTTTGTAAGAAAATAACAACAACTATTTAATCATAAAATGAAGTTAACTAGTACATTATCAATGAGATTTATATACCGTAATGCAAATGGAGACAGAAAAAAATCCAAATATAGTAAAGAAAAAAAGAAGAAGAAAAAGAAAATAAAAGTGGATTATTAGACAAATTTCCTATAATAACGGGCATAACTATCTTTTCTTTTTTTACCCATATACTGTTGACTTTTAGTCACTAGGAGGTAATTTATAGATTCGTAAATACTGATCCCTAATTATCAGCAGGCACCATGTAATTAAGACCTGATTACAATACGGGTCAATCTCTAATATTTACCCCACCCGAACTCGATACTGTTCGGACTCCCAGCAGTTTGGTCCGCCTTGCAACCACCCAATCTGAGGATAGTTAAAAGCTTGGACAGTGTACGGCTATTTTAATTCTGTAAACTGCTGCTGGATCTGTGATTCCTCATGCCTTCAAGAATTTCACCAAAGGAAGGCATCTGGGGCTTCTTCTTCTACTGGATCTGAAAGAGACAGCTAGTGTTATATTTCTTTGACCTCTAAATTCATGAAAAATTAGAGAAAGAAAGAAAAAGATGATAGAGTTAATGCTCAAGAAACCTTTGCTTAGTATTGTAGTGGTGCTGATAGTCTCTTTGTTCCTTATTCTGTTCTCATCATCTTCTCCTTTCTCTGAAACCCCTTATAGTATTACTTCGTTGTGAGTTACAAATCTCTTCGTTTTTTTTCCCTGGGCTTCGTGCACCTGTACTCTCTGTTTACTTCTTAGAAGTTACGAAAAGTTCTTTGTTTTTTAGCGTCTTGTTATTTTGTAAAGGTAATGCTGAAAATTTTAACGTGTTATTGTTAATTGAACAGCTCAGATAGACCGGAGATTTGGAGTCTTCGAAGGGTTGTTGAATGGAGACCCTGCAAATGGTGGCTTCAACAACCTCCTTCTCGTTAGTATTATGGACTTCTTTATTTCAATTATGGAAATTCCTGTTTTGTTTCAGTATATTCTTTTTCTGGGTTTTAGGGTGCAGATATCATGTTTTCAGATTCTAAATGGGCTGTGCTGATTTTATGGAACTTCTCACGAATTTTAAACCTTGAGAAGATATACTATATGTTTTTTCGTTGGTATTATGTTTGTAAATCTGTATCTGGTAAACGGGATTTGCTTGGAAATGAATAGATAACTTGGATGGGCTTTTCATGATGGATATATAATTTGGATGATCTAGTTTTTCTCTAAGTCAAAGTTGACTGGCTTCCAATGCAGACATTTGGATTTGGTTTTTTGTGTTGATATGCTGCAGCTCTACCTGCTCACAGTAATGGTTACATTCGTGTGGATTGCTATGGTGGGCTCAATCAGATGAGAAGGGATGTAAGTACTTGGCCTTTGTTTCTTATTCCCTTTCAACTTCACACTTCAGCCCCTCTCTGCTTTCTTCATTTGTTTTCCTTTGTAGTATGATATCGTAACATCATGTTCGATGTGCTTTGTGCAATTTGCAGTTTTGCGATGGCGTTGGGATTGCTCGACTGCTTAATGCAACTCTTGTTTTGCCCAAATTTGAAGTGGCCGCATATTGGAATGAATCAAGGTAAGTGAAGCTCTTATGTAATACTTATCGGGCTATCCACTCATGGAGTTGCATCTTTGTTATATATTAACTTTTACTTCCCTAGGATGCCAGTCAAGGCAACACTAAACTTGTCTCAATTGTAGGACCATTCCATGTTTGAGATTCATTTCAATATTAGTCTTTCGTATAGCAATTTGATTAGCACAAGTTGCATATTTTACGATCATGACTGCATTGTGTAGTTTATTGCTCAGGTAAGAATCAAATAGCTTAAGGCTGTAGTTCTTGCATGCTGTTCCTAAGATTGCCTCAATACACAAGATAATGCCCACAATTTTACTCTTGATAATTTTGTAGCACCTATATTAGCCCTGGCAATTGTATAAGCGATATATGGAATTTGAAGAAGAGTTGATGTCAGTTCTTTTACTCAAAATACATCTAAACCGTCATCCATAGCTTGTGAGCCATGATCGGCTAATTGTGGCATTTCATCAAGAGAGCTTTGTGGAGTGAAATAATACCTGCACTCATGTAATTCAATCCAGTCATCCCTGGGATGTAATCCTTCACAAGCACTCTTGGACTATGACAACCCGAGTCTGTACATTGAAGGATGAGTTATTTTCTTTCTGCCAAATGTGGAAGTTTTCTTCCTATAACCAACATATTGATAATGTCTCATCCTTTCCTTTGCATGGTTAATCACAGTCTCACAGCTGGACTGTGATCTAAGGATTTTTTTTTTCACTTGGCCTTTAAAAATCTTAGGTGAGTGCTGTCTATTCAAGTGAAGGAGATATCTTAGACTATGCCACCAACTTCTGTTGAATATACAGGGGAGATGCATCTCCTAATCCATCTCTAATGCATCTTTTTATTTAGTGCTTTCCTTTCTGTTTACTTCCATGTGATATTGTGCATAACTTTTTCTGTTATATTTCAGTGGGTTTGCAGATGTGTTTGATGTGGATTACTTCATCCAAGAAATGAATGGCTATGTTAAAGTAGTTAAAGATTTGCCTGCAGATATTGCATCAAAAGAACCTTTTCGAGTAGATTGTAGCAAGAGAAAAGGCCAGTTTGATTATGTTGAAAGTGTACTTCCTGCTTTATTGGAGCATCGTTATATATCTATGACACCTGCAATGAGTCAGAGAAGGGATAGGTAAAGCTCAAGTGTCTATTTATATTTCTTATAGTGTTAGAAAGCGTTAATGGCTGCACACGTGAAATGTTGAACAAAACTCACTTATTTGAATCCCACTTCTTGATATTATGACTATCTTCTCTGTAGGTATCCTTTACATGGAAAGGCTGCTCTTTGTCAAGCTTGTTATACTGCTCTGCGACTTACTAACTCTTTGGAGAAAAAGGGCCTTGAGCTTCTGCAGGCTATACCTAAGCCCTTCCTCTCGCTGCACCTGAGGTTTGAACCTGACATGGTTGCATACAGCCAATGTGAGTACTTTGGTCTTTCTTCTACCTCCTTAAAAGCTATAGAGGCAGCACGTGCGGACCGCAAACCCTGGGCTGGAGAAGCATCCCGTATTTGGAGAAACCGCGGCAAGTGTCCCCTCACTCCAAATGAGACTGCTCTCATTCTTCAGGCTCTTTCCGTCCCTACAAACACAAATATATATTTGGCCGCTGGAGATGGGCTTATGGAACTTGAAGGGCTTACCTCTGTATACACTAATGCTGTTACAAAATCCACCCTTCTTAGTGATGAGGACTTCACAAGCATGCATGGAAACACAAAAGCTGCCCTTGATTATTATGTATCCATTAACAGCGACTATTACATTGCTACGTACTTTGGGAATATGGATAAGATGGTAGCAGCAATACGGGCTATGAAGGGGTTGTACAAAACGCTTTTCTTAAGTAGGAGGGCTTTTGCAGTATTCACATCTCAAGGGCTCAGAGGGGAAAGATTAATGGAAGCACTGTGGAAGGCTCATAGAGATGATTTTGTAATGAGTAGGGGTTCTGCTTTATCTGACTGCTTTTGTGAGTTCCAGTTATAGGTAGATTATAATCATTTTTTAAATCCTTTCAAATTTATGTAGTTTTGCATCACTGATTTGGTTTTGGGAGCAGAAATTGTTACATGAGATACCTGGATAGTCAGCAAGTTGTTTAAGTTGGAGACCACAGTTACTGTATCTCGAATATTTGTAGATCTGTCCCAGCATGAAGGGCATTGTTTAGCTAATGAATTGAACCATGTATTTGTTTTGAAGTGTTGCATTTTATTTTCTATGTGCACGCCAAATCTTTGCACAGTGGAATTTGGACCAGATGTTGGTGTGCATCATTTAGCTAATCAATCAATTCACTTGATGTTCATGTATTTTGTATGACAAGACAATCAGGGTCCTCTTTCTGGGCTCATTTCAATTCAGACGGACAAAGAGTATTGCGTTGAATAGAATCAAATCCTACATTAACAGGATGCGGTTACACGCTATTGAGTTTGAGAGTGCAAAAGCCCCTAATCGAAAATCTCTTTACAAATTTCATGTGTGCACTTTGCCCAAAAGGAATATTCTGTTGGACGATCACTGTTGTCAGTCATGTCACACTAACTTTTGATGCCGCACAGCCTCACAGGTGAGAACACATTCAGACTTGAAGGAAGGATGCAAGTTCCAACATTCCGGCGGATGCACAAATGTGGATCACGTTTGAAACTTTGTATCAACAAGTATCTCCAACTAGCTACCGCTTATCAAGAAGTTTGTGTTCCATTTCCAGTTCCACCTTTCAGCATATGCCAGGATCGACAAATTCCATTCTACGTATGATAAACTAGCAAGGTTCCGCCTGACACCTCGGTAGTTGCCTTAGATCTAAAGTTACTAGTATCACGACATGGCCACCAGCAAAATCACACACAACCTTCTATCAGTTATTGGCGTTTCTTACAATGTCGCAAGATTGTGCAAGGGCACATTCACATGAGAGCTCGTCCACCAAACTTATCAGCAGATTGTCAAACTTCATGAAAATCTTCCAGGATTAACAAGTGGCACTATTAGTGGCTGCATGTCTATCAATCTGAAATCAACTTGGGACTAATAATTGCGCATAATAATCAAAAGGAAAGTGTTAGAGGACTTACTTTCACAGCAGTGCCTACTTGTTACTGAAGGAATGATGCAAAACAAAATCACCTTGCATATTTCCTCTCTCTCTGCAAAAAATAAATAATTTTCATACTGGGCATAAAACTTGGAAGCTAAACAGAACTGTAAAATAGGAATAATTGCCACCATAGTCTAATACTCCAATCATCCACCAAAGGATGACGGGAAAATTGTAAGTTCTAAGTTGTAGTTTCTTTAGAAAACAATCTGGAACAGAAGCATTTATAGTGGTACTTAGAGTGGGAAAATAGCAGTCCACTAGCAATACAAAAAACTTTACTATGATCTGTACCTCAGGCATGAAACTATATGAGTTTGTGAACTTGCAACCAAATCTTACCTCCATTTATCAAGTGTATGTACTTCACACTTCAGATGTCACAAGTCACCTACACAGAAAATAGTAATTATATCAAACGACAGCGCCAGATGGCTTTTCCTCCAAAAATCAAGGATTCAGATTAAAATTTAAAAACTTTCCATCTACTTTGATTTTACCATGACAGTAGGTTTTAGATATTAGCAAATGGAGCCAAAGTACTCCTATACTAGCTCTCAATGTGCTGTATAGCATGTATTCTCTACTTCCAGGGTAACACACATAATTTAGTCCTTGAGACAGCTCCTTCATCTCATGCAAGGCACTAATGTGTTGGTTAACTTCAGATACTCTTGTTTGAAGTACAATAAAAGTTTCAAGTTCTTCCTTGCACTTAACTAACTGAAACTTTGATATTTCCTCAGTTCCTGATAATGTTCTTCTTTAATCAATGCATGCAAGATATGTGAGGCCTCAGAAGTCATTCCATTAGTTGAATATTGGTCAAACACCAAAGAGTATTTTTCAGCAACATGGAGCTCTTGCTCATTTAAGTTGCATGAGACAATGCTTCTCCATTGCTCTGATATTCCTTCGGAGCAAATACCATGCAAGAAGGCAGCAAAACTGATGGGATTTGAAATACATCCCTTGCTAGCTATTTTATTTCTTAACTGCAGTGCTGTTCTGAACATACCACGCAAACAAAGACAAACAATTATGGAACTGTACACTGCTGTCTGACAATCACAACCATCGGATATCATTCTTTGATAGACATCCAGAAACACAGACTTACTATAGTTAGACATCTTTTCTTGCTTGGATATATCAAGTACACTGTTTGAAAATCCCTTAACCAGAAAGTGAAATGTAATGTCATTGGGAGTGCACTTGCTAATCAGCATTTGGTCAAAAAAGAAGGCTCCTTTTGCAAGGTTTCCTACCGTACAAAAGCCACCTATTATTGTGGTATAAGTCACAACATTAGGCATCAAACCACTCAACTGCATCTCCCTAAGAATCTTTTCAGCTCCTGCAAGATCTCCATTGCGACAAAACCCATTGATTAGACTGGTATATGTTACCACATTAGGAGTACAATTTCGTTTGATCATGTTTCCAAGCATCACCAATGCACCAACCAGATAATGCTGCTTTATGTATCCATCAATAATGGTGGAATAAGTAAATTCATCTGGAAAAATGTTTCTCTCCATCATTATATTCATCCACGATACTGCATCTTTCATCAACCCAAATTTACAGAATCCCTTAATCAAGGCATTATATCCCACAACTCCAGGATTTACTCCAGTCTTAATTATTTTCTTAAACAGTTTCTTTGCCCCATCCAGGTCACCATCTCTGATAAATCCATCCACTAATGTTGCATAGTTATATGCATCAGGTAACAACTTGTGGCCAAGCATCTCAGCAAGAAGTTGCTTAGTGTCAGCAAACCTCCCTTTTTTGCAAAGTCCATTCATCAAAACATTATAGATACCTGCATCTGGAAGCACTCCCCTTTGAATCATCTTGTCTCGAATTGATAAAGCAACATCAATCTCACCAGAAACCACAAACCCATGCAAAAGAGCTCCATAAGTTACCAGATCAGGTTTATGTCCATGCTCTGTCATCTCAACTAGCAAATTAGAGGCTCGGTCAAAATTGCCCTGTTTGCAGTAGAGGTGAATAAGAGGAGTATAACTGAACTTGTTAAGCAGTAATTCCCTGTTCCTCGCATGTTCTAGAAGTTTTTCAGCTTCCTGAGCCTTCTCATCTCTACATGTGCCTGAAATCAATGTATTATATGTCACAATATCAGGATTGCAGCCACCCTCAATCATCTTTCTTTCAGTCTCCATGGGATCCATTGCACAACCATGCCTGTACTTCGCATCTATAATGCTATTATAAACAGATACATTAATTGCCAATCCCCTTTCATTCATTTCTTTCAAAAGCTTATCAACATTCTTAAAATCCCCTTCCTTGCAGAACCCATTGATCATTGCTCCATAAGTCTCAACTGTGGGCAAAAATCCCTTTAGTTTCAACTCCTTAAAAAGCATATAAGCTCTTTCAACATTGCCTTTCTTGCAATGTCCATCAATCAGTATATTGTAAAACACTATATTTGGGATACACCCCTTTCCCCACCTAGCAAAAATTAATTGCATACCTTTATCAACCTCACCTTCCTTGCACAATCCTCTCACCATTATACCTGTAGTATAATTATCCGCAGAACAATTCTCTTCCCCATCAGCTCTCTCAACTGTGTCGCAATATATCCGCATTGCATCATTAATGTTACCTTTCTTCACAAGTCCATTAAGCAAAGAATTATAAGCCAACACATTTGGCACCAAACCACAGGTATTTACTTCAAAAGAATATAACTCAACGGCTTTATCAACTAAGCCACAATCAGAATAAGCTCTTAGTATTACATCAAAAGCTTCTCGGCTGGGCACTTTCCCTTGGCATTTCATGCTCTTGAGCACAACTTCGACCTCAGAAAAAACTTTAAACTTAGCCAGGAGCTTTAAAAGAGAAGAATAAGCAAACCCATCCAGAGAACAGCCATAAGGTCTATCAGAGACCCAACCAAAGAACTTAAGCCCTAAATCGGCATTGTGAATTTTATCAAACACCAAGTGGGCAATTTCAGATGGGACTATTTCCTCCACTGACAGTCGGGTTTCAAGCATTTCTTCCCATTGAGTTTGTGTCCTAAGGATCTCACACACCTCAACTACGAGTCTCTTGATCTGAGTTGGAACCGGAATTTCATGGGTTGACTTGGGATTGGGCTTGAGACGTTTAATCCCAGAAAGAAGGTTTTTAGACATGTGAACGGCGAGATTTTTAGGTTTATTTCACCCACAAAATTACAGCTTTTGAGCAGTTTCCTACAGTTTTCATTCATTGGAGATAGAAAATCTGCATACGATCAGATAATTACTATTGAGATTTGAGAAGAAAATGCAGACCTTTGATCAACTAATCTGATAAACCTATGCTAATATGACAGCTTGCTTCCAAAAGCTTTTTGTATCCCTTTTAAGTTAACCTAAAATTTAGGGGGAAAAAAAGGCCGTCAAGAACTCTCACTCCCTTCTTGCTTCCAGGGGAATTAGAAAATTGGCATGGTACAATAGCCGGGGTACAAATTCGCTTGGACCAATTGGCGGGAATTGATTTTTCGTGGTGGTCGGTCAACTGTTTTCTCAAGTCTCAAACAGTCAATATATAGAGGAAGATAAGGAGACCTTTAAATTAAAAAAAAAATAATACTAATAAAGAAGAAAACGAGATGGCCAAAAAGGGCCTTAATGGAGGAATAAAAAGTAGTAATAACCATCAATAGGCCCAAATTGCATTAACAAACGAAGTTGGACGAAGTATTGTCATCCAGGGCCTTTGTAGTTTGTAGATTGCATTCATTGGAGTGATTATTTTAGCTGGGCAGCAAAAACTTTCTATCTTTACACTTGCAAGAGAAGCAATTTTGTGGCCTGAATACATATGGTATTTTGGTGGTTACACACAAATCATCTTCGTCATTGGTGATATTCCTCTGTGATTTCACTTCAAAAGATTTCTGTCTGTGATATAAAGAAAAAATAGCACAAGGGCTGGATGGAAACGTTGTAAACTAAACAATTTAGCTCCTTATATCGGCAAAGATCAAACGTAAATCTTATTAGTTCATATTGGGTATAGATTAGATCCTGAATGGCATGGAGGAGAGGGTAGGTTGACAGTGCTTCAATTGGAGTACAATGAGATGCTGCACAGTTCATGTTGTATACAAGCTGGCACTTCAATACAAGAGTTAAAGTTTAAACGACTATATCTGAAGCCCTTGAATCTATCCAGCAGCTGACGAAATTTCCCTGCCTTCCCATGAAAGGATCATGATGTTCTCATAGAATTCTTGCTGTAGCACTCCCTTTGGCATGGATGAAACTTAGTGATCCAATCACGAGGAACTTGCGCTGTCATCATTATGAAAAACATAATAGATGCACCCTTTTCTTCCATCCCAGTGATGAAATTTACGTATGCAAAAACAGGTACCAATGCTCTTGTTTATGGGAAATATAGTTGACATAATGATGCCAGTAATCTGGATTCTTTTGCATGTGATAAGAATTGCAGTTCCGACAAATAGCAGGTTCCAAAGCCATGTCCATCTTTATTCCTTCTAAATTTGGCCAAGAAGATAGGGTACAGTATATGTTATATCTGACCTTCAAGCCAGTCAACAAACTCTGGAACAAACTTGCAGACACACCCGCTACTTGCCTTATTACCTGCATCAGAAATGGAAATATTATCGTTATCTCCGGAACAAACTGCAAAAGGTTGACAAATAGGATAATAGCATATACTTCTTCTTCTAGTTACTTTTTATAAGTGGGAACAGTATATACTTCTATATGTTTTATGAGCATTTCCTGGGCATACCAATATACGTCTAGGAAACTCAGCGTGCCCACCAAGTCTGAAGATGCTTCAAGGGGTCCATATATATGTTCATTGGGTGTAAGGTTGCAGTGTTTAAGTGGCCATTCATATTACATTTTCTAGAATAAACTTCAAGAAAATATGGAAATGAAGCATGTGCTTAGCTTTCTACCTAAACCATGTCACGTATTTCATGAAAATTCTCCCCAGTCTCAATCTTCGCTAGTGCAACGGTGCAATCGGTCGTATCTGAATACATCCATCCAGCTATCCATCCTGGCACCGGACAACGGTTTTGTACGTAAACAATGAGCAGAAGGGGCAGCTTGTATATCACTGCATATAACATATATTATAAGTTTTACCTGTCACAGCATAAATGTAAATCCTGTCATAGAACTCCTCTAGATTGAGTAAAGATGCAATGCAGAAATTTATATGTAGAGTTACATGAAAATTCTAGAAGACTATGATCAGTAATGAGCAGACTAAGAATAATCTCTCATGTAAAAATGGTAGTTCCAAAATTTCCAGAACAGGTTCTTAACATGCATGGCAACAATTTTCAATATCATAAATTGTATCATACAAGTTATTGAAAAAATTAACAGATCCAGGCTTTCCATATACATTAATTTGCTGTGCCAAGCAACCTTTCTAATTAATTATGTGCACCAAAAAAAATGAGATAAGTGCTTTAGATGATATCATCCACTCCGGCAAGAGGACAACACCCACATCACCTGGCGTGCAGGTGCATCCGTTTTTTATCTATAAAAATATTTCAACATAAATTTTGTTCCTCTTAATAAAGGAATTCAAAATTCACTTAAAAAAAACTGTTTGAATTATGCCTCCAAGAAGGAAAAAGGTCAATGACTCTTCTCCAAGCCTCAAACCTAAATTAACACAGAACTGTCAGATCCTTGACCAATCAAATTACAAGAGGTACATAAATATAAAAAACTGCAACAAAAGATACTTATTTTTAGTAGTCACTGGAACATTAATTCTTTAAATCTCCGACTACAAAGCAATTATAATTACAGCTTTCAACAACAGAACCTTCCTTTAGTAAATGTATCATCTATCAAAGAAACGCATCCTCTGCCTTCAACACCTGATAGCTGATGACTTTAATTGTCAATTTAGTAACATTTGGACCCTGTCTATTCAATAAACTCTCCCTCCGTGGAAAAGTGACTTTTACAGAAACAATTAAATGCTAAAATGTTTTAGCCTCTTCAGATTTAAGATTCAATCGACATGTTTCATTACATGCTTTCTCCTAATCACCGTGACCCAGCCCATGGCTCCCAGGTTATTAAGTAGAATTGACTTTATATACAGCCAATTCTAATAAGCAGGGCAAAGAGCAAAAGAAAATAAAAAGTAGCTTGTGAAATTACCATTTGCATCACACCCTTTGACATCTCAATTCAGGGATTTCAGCTGCCATTCTGTTCCATTTTTCTCATATGACTACCGGTACCGAAATAACAAAAGAAACACATTAAACTCTCAGAGAAATTTGTGTCCTGTGGTAGCAAATAAGCAGATAATTTTTGTCGGAAAATGGAATTGTGAGTTATGCAAAAGCTACTTCTGCATGGGGGTGAACACATGTCACAGACTTATCACAGACTCGTGAGAGAGAGAGAGAGAGAGACTCACAAAAATTTAGATGATTAAAGTTTTGGCAGATATTCAATTCTCCAGGGTCTTCATTGACACCATAGCTTTTACTTAAGACAAAGAAGAAGCACCGTCTTCTGAATACTGATCCATGAAAAGTGCTAATCAGGCTGCGGTTGCCTCAACAGCCTTAAGTAGAGAACGATGACGAGCTCCAAAAATCACAGTTTAGTTTCAGTTTGAATATTCCCATATTTTCTTGTCAGCATAGACTGCATGGTATTCATTTGATGTGCAGAAAAAGGTGGTGTCCTTTTCTTAGCCAAACTGATCACAAATTTTGCCTTATCAATTTTTCCAGTCTTCCGTAGCCCTTCAAGTAGCTTTAGTATAGTGTCGATGCTTGGAAACCAATTCTTTTCCATGCTTTTTTTAGACATCGTATATGCTAAATCAAAGTCATTGGCTTCGCAGAGATAATGAATCATTGTCTGATAAATTTTGACATTTGGTTGAATGCCTCGATCAGGTAAATGTGAATAAATCCTTTTTGCCATATCAAGAAATCCAGCTCGGTAGAACCCTTTGATCAACAAGTTATATGTGACCTCATCTGGTTTTAGACCTAGGTGATGCATCAAACCCACTAATTTATTAGCATCCCAAGACCGACCTTTATTCACCAAGAATTGGATTCTGACATTGAATGTGGCAAGGTTAGGCAAACAACCATTGAGAATCATAAGGTTCCACAACCCATTACCAATATGCCGCTGGTTAAACTTATAAAAAGCTGATATAAGCGTCGTATATGTAACCACATCAGGTCTTATTCCCAACTTTTCCATCTCTAACATGATCAAATGTGCCCTATCCAATATTCCCATTTCACATACTGCCTTGATGACGATATTCACAGAGTATACATCTAGCTTGACACCACACTCTAAAGGAGCCTCCCTAAAAAATGACTCAATTGCCTCCAAATCATGGGATAGAGTCAGAACCTTCAGTGCAGCATTGAACGCCTTGACGGTTCGCTGACAACCATACAAATGCATGTCAAAGAACGTATTAACAGCTTGCTTAAACATACCTGCCTTTCCATACAGCATTATAATCCGAATGATAAACCCTTCGCGACGACCTTGGGGCAAAATTTTCTGATGTTCAAGTAAATTTTCAATATAATCAAATCTGCCCGCCCCAGCTAATCGAGAAACCGTGTCCTCAAATGCAAACCGGTTTTCAACAACTAACTTATTACGAGCATTAGCCTTGAACAAATTAAATAACTTCTCAGGGTCCCTTTCCTTCTTCAACTTGACAAGGGCTGGCTCATCTAACTCTATGGGTTCCCTTACCACATTGGAAACCGGCCTCTCCCTAACAGAGTTAACATTCTCAGTACACGTAATAGCAGCCGCTACAATGTGGGTTGCAGTGCCAAATCTGCGAACCAGGCGCAGAGATAGCATGTTCTAAAATGCCCCCCTTCAAAACCAAACATGCCCGCCACCAAAAATCAAAACTTTAGCCAATATTCTCAGAAAGCATCCAATGCCCATCTAAAAATAACCCAATCCAGTTCAGCATCAAATAAAATAAATCAGGTCCATCATACCCAATCAATCGATGAATCAATCAAAAACTCCTAAAGAATGTAATAGCCAATATGAACGTACGAAAACGTAAAAAGAACCCAGAAAATTTAATAAAATATCAGAAACCCAAAAAGGGTTTTAATATGGGGCTCTAGGTTTATGTATATATACTTATTTGTAAGTATAAATATATGAGATTGTGGAAACAAGGCTTTATAACGGATAGCAGTACAAGTCTTAGGGATGGAAAATGGAATTTACCGGGTGATGGAACATTGATGGGGAGCTCTGAGGGGATCCTGGCGTGTGTTGTGCGTTTTTTTTTCTGTTTTTTTTTTTATTTTGTTTCCGGTTAAGCAACAAGCTGGTGGTGGTAGAGGGTTTTGCGTCAGCTGGGGGAGCTAGGTATTGGGCTTTTGAGGGGTGTGGGAAGCGGGATTTATCAACTGGAGGTGGATGCATGGTAAGAAAGTCGCACTGCCTAGGTGGCGGTGATTTTTCGGATGCATTTTACTACCAAGTCAAACAACCATTTTTCTCATTTTGTTAGTTTATCACATATTTAACACCACGGACTGATTTTTTATTTCTTATTTTTAAAGAAACTCCAGATATTCGAGAGAAAATGATTTCTTACTTATTTCTTCTTTTTTTCTTTTTCGTTTTTCAAGTTCCTCTCTTGTTCATTGCTGCTTGGTTAGACGAGACTTTGTAGCGATTTCTTCATGAAAATGGATAATTTTTTTGTTGACTAAACAAGCATCTTTAGCGGATGAACATTAGGACCATGCTAAAATGATTCACCTTCCTGTTAAAAAACTCCATCCCAATAACCTGTAGACAATGTTTTTAAACTCGGACCGGTCAGTGAACCGGAGAGGTTGCCGGTTCGCGGTCCGATCGGTTCGACCGGCCGGTTCATAAGTTCACTGTTTTTTTTTTTTTTTTTGGTTAAATACTAAGCAAGTTTCATTCTACACTTGAACTTTACCAACATAACTTAATTTAAGTTATGATAATAATAAATTTCGTAAAAGTTATACATAAAACATGGAATGATAAATATAATTAAAATATCATAATTCACCACAAGGTTTCATAAATTCATTATAAACATAAATAGATACAATCCAAATGTTCACCAATTATCACAAATAAAAACACAAAAAATAAATAAATTAAATATTGTAATTCTAAAACAACCCTTAACAAAATCCATAAAAGAGTTCAAGTTAAGACAAACCATTTGAATAGCAAACTTTTATAAGTGGCATGATAAGTAACCACACCACCTTCACAATTTAATCAACTTAAGCTGAAAAAGTTAAAATTTTATTATAAAAATATAAATCTAATTGCTCAAACTAAAAAAAAACTAAAAATTTTTGAAAAACAAATATACAGTTAAACACATAAAAAATTAATTGCTACTAAACATTACTAATTAACATGTTATATTAAATTCAATGATCCTATACCATTAATTATTTTAAATTCAATTATCAATAGCTTTGATTATGTGCCAACTACCATATTTTTTACCAGCCCAATGTTATTATTTGTAATTCCTACCCAATTCCTACATGGATGTGCACTACTTTTGCAAAAATTTCATCCTTAATTAATCAAATAAAAATAAAACAAAAAATGAGGGAAACATATGAAAATTGAGGGGAAAAAGAAGAAAATGCAAAAAAATCAACTAAAGATAATAATATAGAAAAAAAAAGCCTTGAAAAGAAAAAAAATTAAACTTACCAAGATGTTGGAAAACAAGAAAAGTTGAAATTTTCAACTTGTTTACAATCTGCTAAAGATAATAACCTGATAATAATGGTGAAGACTTGAGAAAATCTTGTTGTGGATATTTGGGTTAAAAATGGTTAAGAAGAAAAAATTGAAAAAAAAAATAAGAGAAGAACTTGATGTTTTAATATATTTTTTAGTCAAGTAGAATTCTCAACAAACTTAACTACAGTCTAGTGGTAAGATTGTCACATGCAAATCCTGAGACTCAGGTTCAAATCATGGCTACACCATTCTTGATATTTTATATTTTGTTGAAAAATTTAAAAAACTGCCGGTTCACGGTTCACACGGTTCGTCCGGGTTTCAACGGTTCTCCATGAACTTCCGGCTTTAGCATTAGACCGGACCGGTGACATGGCCGGTCACCGGTTCGCGGTCCAACCGGTCGAACCGGCCGGTCCGGTCCGGTTCTAAAAACACTGCCTGTAGACGTGATGTGTCATTTGTGATTCATGCTAGGGATAGCAAAAAATACGTGCCGACTCGAAAATTTGTAATATTCGATCTCATTTAATCCATAATATAGGATACTAGATCCGTATTATTTTATCATGTCAAAAGATGATCAGCTACTCGCTTATATATGGGATAGGTTAGGATCACAAAATTAAGAACTCACGAGTACCCGATCTGCTCCACACACACACACATATATATATATCTATTTAGTTTTTCATTTTTACATATACTACAAAATAATACTTTTAGAGCGAATTAACTAATTTCATCAAGCAATTTGCTCTCAAAAAATATGAGAGATTATTTGTTTATAAGCTTTATTTGTATGGGTTATTATCTTATATTTTTAATAAAAGAGGTTAAGTGATGTAGAATATATATATATATATATATATATGAAAAAATGGTACCACTTATATCAATTTTCATTGATTTTGAATTCTTTTAACTGTTTCCCTTTCTCTTGTATTCTCTTTGTATGTCTATTTTTTGGGATGAGATTTTTTTTTTAAATAAAATTTGTGTTGAATCTTAGATGAATACATAAAATACAAAATTAAATTAGTATAGATCATTTATTTAAAGATTAAATCATAAGCAGGGCAGGGCAATGAATACCGCTGACACGCAGCACGAATAAGAACCGGAAAATTGCTGACTAATTAGATGGGGACCGAGTCGACCAAATGCTCAAAGGAACGGGTAATTGACCCATGCCCACCCCTAATTCATACCTATAAGCTCAATATGCAGGCGACTTCTATGGATATTATATTATCAACGCAAAAATCATGATTTGTTAGCATGTGAATAATAGCTGGTTATTGCATGCTGTAGACAACATTCTTTTTTTTTTTTTTTAATTTATTCCCCCTTCAAATGCAAGTTGTGTTATGAAATTTGGGATGCTTAGTAGTTTGATTCTTTGATGGATTCATGGAATAATGGCAGATACCTGATGCGTTTCAGCAACCAAAGGACAAAAATTGCATCCAAGCAGCAACGATGCTTAACACTGTATTGGTTTTCCTATAGAACAGATATACAAATGCACTTCTATCCTTCCCAATCAAGGTAAGAAACAAAAAAATTTTGTATTTCTTATGCAGAACGATTACACTGAAAACTAACACCAAGAGATGAATCGAGCAGCTGTTTCCAATGTATGCCAGTATTTGTTGCAGCTCCAAGAAGTCTGCACTTCAGTCTTTTGATGTAATGACAAGTAACCCCAATACACCAATGAGAACATACTGCAGATGTGGGGAAAAAAAATAATAAAGGAGTAGTTATTCCATCAAATCAAACTACTTTTGGGGCAGTACCAAACCTGGAAGCAGTTCAAAATCTTGCTGCTATAGCTAATATGGAATTTGACATGATCATCTTTAAAATTCAAAGAGAGATGCATCAAGAATTTAATATATACACAATTTGAGAAGTACTGTGTAGAACAGGAAAATTTTTAGTCTTTGTCGAGCAATTTGATCCTTTTCGCTTATGATCAAGAACCAGACAATATAAGTAGTACAGATCAAAAGTTCACAAACCTTGACAATGGGTTTCTCAGTCATAATGATGGTCACCCAGCCGACATATGGTAAGAACCTGATTATGCACCACCCACAAAGGGAAAAAGAGAAGGTGATCAGCCCTTGTTTTGGCAATCATAATGAGAAAATACACATACATTCCTTTAACAATCAAGTATTAATCACTTGCAAGCCCAGAAGAAATGGTTATAACATCAAAAACAGGTATGAGCTCTAGTTCTCCTGGTTATGCTCACTTTCCTCAGCTCTACTTCTGCTGTTGTGCTGCATATTATTAGCCCACAAAAAGCACGAGGGTACCGTGTCACTGTATCTATGTTACAGTTTCCCTTGACTATACCAAAGATTATATATCTGAGATACACTTAGTGTAATTTAAAAGGAAGCAAGAAAGGTCATGACAAAGGAGAAAAGGAGAGAAATCAAGGGCTGGGAGGAGAATGATATCATTTTACAGATTATTACCCCACAGCTCTACCCATTATATGGCGCTGCTCAAGCCAGCGCTGTCCAGGAGCATATAAACCTATGTCATCACCAGGATTGGCATCCCCTGAGAGAAAAAAGGGAAAAAGGTAGAGGCATTGGAGAACAAGAAAGTATTTAACAGATAACCTCTGTTTAACCAAATAAAAAACCGTTGTTTGTCCAAAGGAAAAGCAGTGAAAGCATAGGAGCACTTGATGGAAATGCTGTCATCTTCTCTCAGCATAGTAAAAACATAAAATAAATTCATAATTAGCTATCTTGATAGAGCAAGCAAGAGTAAAGATCTGGCACCTTTTGTCAGGATGTTAACTTCTCCTGTATCTTTTCGTTCATGAACCTACAAGAGCAATGGGAATCTGGAATTGAAAACAAAAAGACCAGTAGCCGCATGGTAGTTTTTGTGATAATAATGTATGAAGAAAGAAGGTGATCTGAGATTCACAAGTAGAATAACAGGGTGAAATCTCATTGCACGGTAGAATTCACCACTCACCTCTTACTGCACTGCAGAAATAATTGGAAAACAAAGAATAACTGATAATTTGATTACCTTGATTACGCGATGGACAATTGGAATTGAACGACCCTGCAAAAGTGCAAAGGTGAATGTGTAAACAGTGAATTGCCAGAAGGCGGAGGTCAACAAGATTGAGAAATTAAATATGCACTCTCTTTTTTGAGCATGTTATTGACTGATTATTACATACAATGAAAGGGATAATCAGAGACAAGAATAAGAACTCTTACATCAACATTGTAAACAATGATTTCTCCTGCTCTAATAGGATCATTGTTCATGTGCAAGAATAAAATGTCTCCCTGCAAATAAAAATAGGTGTCACTTTGGTGTGTACAATGCATAATACTGCTTTTTCAATAAAGGGCAGTTAAAATTAACTCAACACTTAACATAGATCTTTCAAAAGAGAAAAGGAACTTGAAGCACTCGCACGGTTTTCATGAACTCAAAAAATTGTCTTCAGAAGATAAAGTTCGGATTCTGTTGAGGCGGTATACAAGCCATGGAAAAAGTAAGAAGCAGAGTGACACAGAGAGAACGGGAGAGCGTTTCAATCTGCAATAGAAGAAAGTTTAGGATCGTAGAAGGCACTGAGCTTCTCCAAAACTGAGTCGGGAACAGAAGTTTCCAAGACAATTCATAAGCGCATTGAATTCTCGAAACAAATCAGCTTTTCAGCTCTAACTGGTTTCTGGCTTTCTTTGACTAACAGCCCGACTGGTTGGTTCTCATCGATAAAGGTTTATTTGGACAGTAGAGTTGGATAAATTTACCCTCTTGAAACCAGGTTCCATGCTTCCAGTAAGAACAACAACTACAGGAGATTCACTCCCGGTAATGCACATTAACGCCTTCCATATTATGAGCGCACTACTAATAATCATACCTGAGCAGAACAAAAACAGACGTTAGAACGCTAACCATCTTGATAGGCTACTAAACCACAACATCCTTATAAATTTGCAGATATGACTTCAACTAATTTGGAATGCATACACATTCCGAGCAACAAATGAATCACTACTTAGACAGTAGAGTGTTGCAGAAGGACTAAATCCGCTACTAATTTCTTAGATGATTTCTCGATGAGAAAAACCAAAATGAACCAATGAAGCTTCACTTAATATAACAAACTTAGACGTTTATGTTATAAACTAATTTATTTCCCCACAATCTGTAACTGAGCAAACTTAGACGTTGACTCTGTATTTTGTGAGTTCATCAGAAAGAGCAAGAAAATTTTTGTAACGATGGGATTGATCAAACGGGTTTTGCTCAATCATCAATGTTGACTTCCTCAAAGAACAGATAACTTGAAAAAAAAAAAACAATGTTTATGTTATAAACTAAAATTTAACGAATGAATGGAAGGCAACAAACCAAAATGAGAAATAAAGTAAAGAGAAAGAAACCAAACCAAAGCTGACGGCGTCGTTGAGGGCCTTCCTAATTTGAAAACTTTTTATTGATTCCACAGTTTCGGCAACCCACTCCATGTTCTGGTTCTGGCCTTCTGGGTTCTGCTCTCTGCCAGATTCCAATGCTGCTTCAGAAATTTTGAACCTTGGTAGTTTGACCGCGGCCACCCGGGCAGGGAGACAAATAGGCAAATGAGCTGGACAGCGAGAAGACCGACCCAAAAGTCAAACAAATGGTAACAACGGGTTTGGAACTATGGATTGGACTGTAAGAATCCCAGGTTTTAGTAATTTCATGAATCGTCGTAGATCGATGACGACATTACTCGAGTTTCATTGGCCGAATTTTGTGGCGGTTGAGGTATATATTGTCCCACGTGGCTTCCATGTGTATACAATTAATACTCCTACTTGTTGTGACTGTTACAAAGAAAATATGTAGTGAAATTTCAAATTCCTACACTGCCCCTTGCTTGTTCCCATTAGTACCTTTGCGCCACTCCGAATTATGAAGTTTTGGATCAAACACAAAATTGAGCTATCCATTGCTCAATTGTTTTGAGAGAATTGAGTTGTCCATTGCTCAGATAGACATGATATTCAGTTATCTACGTACGAAATACCATGTGGTTGGCAAATTAGGATGCAAAAGAGAAATGGATCAATTCTAATTTTACATGAACTAATTTCAAGTAATGTTTAGCTCTTATTCAATTAACTAACACTAAAAACATTACTTTCAGACTTAATTCGACTACAGTTTGAGACAAACCCGAAATGTAATTTGTATATGTAGAATTTGGGTAACATTTTTAACTTCCTGCACGCAATTACTATATTTTATCATCATCCAATTCCGATCAATATTAAGTTCAATCGAAGTTTTCTCCTCATATCGAACTCAAGCTAGTTTTGAATTTCAACAATGTGGAATTGAGTTTCTAATAATTGTTTCGTTAAAATTTAATCAACGGGTCAAATCTTGTTTGATGTCAAGTTGATTAACTAAATTTGAAAGGAGTATAATCTCGAAAAATTTTATGTTGGTTTAAAATAACTAATAGACATGTCTAGTAGTTGTTTAAGAACTAATAAAAAAATTGCATGTGAACATATAAGAACCTCACTTATTGATTCACACATTAGGTGAAAAGTGAGATCTATTTGATATGTTAAATAAAATCAAGTGAAACCCTTATATGTTCGCATATAACTCTTTTATTGGTTAGATATAACAATTACTAGACATGCCTAATAATTACTCATACACACAAATATGAAAAAAATTTTATTGTACATAATCTTTGTTTAAATTTTAGAACACAGCACTACACTTTCACGATTGGAATTGGATTTGGTCCACTGAGATAATAACTATTTGCACTGCGGCTTTAAAAACGCAAAGGTTTATATGCAAATTCTTGGACTTTCAAGGAGAAATTGGTAATTTGATGTTTAATTTATTTTTTGGAAATGCAGAAAATGGTTTGTGTAAAATATTAAGCAACTTTATACTAGTTTTTACTTCCCTCCATCAATTATGCTAACTTCTCAACTCATGGCGCTCATCCTACCAGCTGGGTGTGCACGATTAACAGTGTCTCCTCCGGCGCATGTTAGATTCCGACGCCCCCGTGTTCCTAATACTTACGCGGCCATCTCCAGCCCAACTCGGACAGCCGGAGACGATGCGGTGGATTGGGTTGAGGCAACGTCTAGTTTCTTCCAACAAGATTCTCGGCCCATCATGTTATTCGACGGTATTTCATTAATCGATTGCAGCTTATTTCACTAAATATGTAATTGAAATCAATGGCACTTGTCTATTAATTTTTCTAGCTCTTGGGTAATAGTTTTCGTTGCAGCATACTGAGTTGCCAGTCATTTGTTACTAATTAACATCATTATACACACCGAATTCTTCAATTTTCTCAAAATTAGATTCGATTTTTATTTCTAGAAAATCCTTTTACTTTTGCGGATTAAACTTAACTAGGAGAAGATGAACTTTTGTAGCACAAATCCTGAACTAAGTTCGGGAGGGAAAATTGGTTTTAAATTTTTAATCCTTCCTTTCTTCTAGTGATTAATTTGGAAGTGGAGAAAAGGAATATTTTACTCTTTTTTTCTTGTATCATTATCCAAGATCGTAGGAAACAAGAAAATTTAGCTGCCTCATTTTTTGTTTTGGAGTAGTCATTGGAAATAATAGGCTGCAAATCACTGTGTATATGACGAACGGCTAAAGTGAAGATGTGTTCTTGATCTGTTTGATAGGCGTATGCAACTTATGTAATGGAGGTGTGAAATTTGTCCGTGATAATGATCCACAAAGGTAAAGTATATTGATTTGCCTACGGGTTTAGTGTTTTATCAGCTTATGCATTTCTTTTTTCCTTTATGTAGGTCTCTGCTTCTGAAAATGCTAGTAATCTTGTTATAGGTCTAGAAAAAGACCCTTTAGCCTTGACTTTAAAGCTTAGATGACATCTTTGTATGTTTTCTCCCTTGACCCGATTGGATCTTTGAAAATGCTCTCATTTACCACAAACACATAATTATTGTACATTCACAAAACTTAATGTGAAGGTAATGAAAAATTAGGACTCATAAACACAAGGATGAGTTTATGAAGGTAAAAAGACTGAATATGCATATATCAGGTTGAATCAATAAGTTAATGAAATGGTCATTGGTGGAATGAGGCCTTGCCCTGATGCTACCTCCAGAATTTCTTGAAGCATATCAAAGAGCAGGAAGTGCAAAGTTACAAGAAAATTACTGGTCAAGTCTATGAGATGCTCAAAATCCCCTTCAAGTGAACTTGTAGTTCTGTTTTAAGCAATGTTGGACTGTTGATAAAGGTTTTCTTGTTTAGCATGCATAACTGATTTAGAGGACCATGGTTGAAAAATCTAGGGGTGGCAATTCGGGTCCAAATCAGGTTGACGGGTCGGGTTCGGGTCAACCCGTCAGAAAATCTGTTGACCCGAACCCGACCCGCCAACCCGTGACAGGTCAGGTATGCTGACCCGAATCCGAAAATTTCGGGTTGGCGGGTCAACCCGAAATGATCCGAAACTTAATTTTAATTTATTAATTTATCACTGTAATTTCTAATAAAATCAATTTCTCACAAAACTAATTACATAATCAAGTAATAAAAATTTAAATAAATAATTCCAAACCAAATCTAAAATAAATTAAACACCGTAAAAGTGTTTTATCCCAAACAAAATATAAAATAAATTAAAACAATATAAAAGTAAAAAATAATATAATATATTCTTTGTCCAAATATAATAATTTCAACTTCACACAAATTAAATAAATTCATTTAGGATTAAGTAATTAATGCCTTTGAAAAAAAGAATAACTTAGTTTAGTTAGATAAAATTATTTTTATGTTTATTAAATTATTTTTAATTCGTAAACGGGTTATATCGGGTCATATCAGGTCACCACGGGTTGACCCGAAATCGACCTGTTTTCTTTTCGGGTTCATCGGGTCCAACCCGATTCTGACCCGAATTCCCGAAACCTCAACCCAAACCCATTAATTTCGTGTTAGGTTCGTGTCGTGTTTTCAGGTCGTGTCGAAAATTGCCACCCCTAGAAAAATCCTTGTAGTTTTAGTTCTTGAAATTTCTGATTTGTATTGCTTTTTGGCCCACAGGTTTGCTTATTTTCCTGATAAAACTTGCAATTATTTTGCAGGAGAATCAGATTTGAAGCGCTACAGAGTGAAGCAGGCAAGAAACTGTTAAGAAGATCTGGACGAGCTGCCGATGATATTTCAAGCGTTGTAGTGGTTGAAAAAGACAGGTACTTGCATAAATGGTTGGTCAAGGTTCAGTATTGTAAATTTAATCCTTGAATCAACTTAGTAATGCCAATAGTCATGTTAAGTGTGTTGTGAGATCTGGTGCCTTTGTTTTGAAGAATAACGTCCTTGTTACAGGTCTTATATCAAGTCAGAAGCTGTATTAAAGATCATGGAGTACATAGACTTGCCCTTTCCGCAGCTTGCTTTTTTCCTTCAGTTTGTTCCTCTGTAAGTGAGAATTGTCTTCTTGTTATACCTACTTCTACGTTCTACCTTAATGGTGGCCAAACGTCATTCAATTAATGCTTTTCTCACTCCTCTTGGTTATTGCAGTTTCATCCGAGATTTCTTCTATGACAACGTTGCAAATAATCGTTACACATTTTTCGGTCGCTCTGATACATGTGAACTGTAATCTTGCTGGTACAAGTAGTAGTGTCACTACTGCAAGTAAGGACTGTTTACATCAAACAATACAGTCCTATTAGCTGATAAACTCTTCCTGGTCTATCCTCTGTAATAAGATGAAATGGCCAAGAAATATGCTGTTGTTTGGATTATCAAAAGTAGCAAAAGAATAATACTATAGGGATTACCTTCGTTACTTTCTTTCAAAACATCATCAGTATTTCTTCTAGTCTACCTATCTGAAGCAGGCGTCGCAATGAACAATTATAAAAGCAGAGGTCAACAAGTGTCGATGGCGGGTGTGTTCAACAGCTCATGACTGCATTGACCGTCTTACAGCAATATATTTTATTTTGCTCAGTTCAGATTAATCCATTAAATGAACTGATTTAGAAGTGAACTTATTGAAGCTTTTGAGCGAAGAGTAGTATGTAGCCACCGTCACAATTCCGTCCCCTTGGATAACTGTCCCATACAAAGAGCTGTGCTTGGATTTGGCCTGCTTCAGCAATATGGCACAATGTCACAGCTCAAACAAACCTCCTGGGACTCGGGGCAGATATCTTATGCCTCCACAAACACAATGCGAGGAAATTAGTCGGTTGAGGTCATGCCTATAAAAGTCATCCATGTAAAATATGACAATTCGAGGATCTAGCACGATGGTAAAAGCCCTTACCCCCTTCCATTCTAACGAGAAAGCAAGAACAATCATATTGACTAGGTACGTAATAAATCATCTTTTATTGATCCAGCAATTTATTTTATTGACCCAGTAGCGACTACAAACATAATTACTCTGGAGTAGCGACTACAAACATAATAGCAGCACTCGCCTGCATAAAACTCTGGAGTCATCGGTAAAAGCTATACTACTAGTAGTAGCAGTAGTACACAATTACACAAACCCCCGTTCAATTCAAGTAGGCTGAACTGACAAATTACTACTTCTACATAGCGGACTTATCTGCAGCAGCACTGTAGTAGTAACAGTTGTTGAACCCATACCAAACTTCACTGGGTATAAAAACGTCGTAGTAGAAGGTAACA